TTCGGCCACCTCTTCTGTATTGAGAATGAGACCATTGCTCACAAGGCTCTCTGGCTTTAGTTGTGACCCATGCAGACCGAGCTCCTCATGAAGGCTGGAGATCTCCAGCTTTTCAATGCTGTTTTTCCTCAGTGAAAGGCTTTTCTCACTGCCACTATGGAAACTAATCTCCTGGAATGAACTGTGAGACAGCTCATTGATTTCTGGGGGTTGAAATGCTAACATGTCCTCATCAGATACACGTTCAATAAAGTTTGAAGGGACTAGTCCTCTTCTCCCATCCATCAGCTCTCCTGAAAATAAATTCAGGACATATTGAATGTTAAAATTCCAAAGGTGAAATGCAAATAAATGAGAAATAAATAGCTGAGAAAGTTTTTTTTGATAACATTCTACAACAACTCCATAGGATTGCAGACATGCATAACAAAGTTCCACCACTCTAATGTGCTGAATCCTTAATTACTAGAGACAACATAAAAGCATCAGACACTATAAAACCTGGAGACCCACTACACTACACACCTCGTGTAAACATTAACTGGGAATTCATTTGTACATCTAAAAATGGAAATATATTGAAACTGAGTGGTTGTACGTAGGATTTTCATACTTGTAATGTGTTTCACTGTAAATAAATGCTTATTATTGTATGGAAAGATTGGCAACAGTTCCATCCTTTACCACTTGGCTTTTTGGAACACAGCAAGGTAATAGAGAATGCATGGGAAGTTTGAAAACCAAGAACGTTTTTCAAATGGAAAACAAAGATCAGTGTGGCTACTGTGAAAATTGGCAGAGCATAGATATAAATTGTCAGGGTATGATCACACAGTGACATTCTCAAAGTCTGAACTGTATGACCAGTGGAAGAATGAAAACAGATGTAATGCCTCTTTGAAAGAGAATGGGGTAAAATATGAATGAATTCCATCAAATTGGTGCTCATCTTTTCAATATTAACAAAGGTTAGAGTTCTTCGAATGAAGTTTATAATAAAAACAATCTATGAAATGAGGCATGGTCAGAATTTGATAATCTTGACAAATCAATATCCAATCAATGGAAGAATATATCATGGAATTTAACAGATTGCACAAAAGGTTGAAGAAATTTAATCCATAATAGAATTTGAATTACTGCATTGCGCTGAGACATTGCATATTGATGACTAGCTTTAACAGGTATGCTATTCTCAAGTAAGGAGGTCTGCTGGATTAGATGCTTGCTGCCTTAAATAAAACTCATGAGGAAATTGTCATTTCCTTCAGTCTTATTGGAATAAATGAGAAATTCTGTGGTTATAAAAAGAGCCAAACAGTCAATAATTGCCAGATTTCAGTATTATCCAGAGATTGGATTCAGGATCAATAACACAAAGAATTAAAGACAGGTAGAATTAAAATGAAATAACAAGATGTAGAGCTAGATGAACACAGCAGGCCAAGCAGCATCAGAGGAGCAGGAAAGCTGACGTTTTGGGCCTGGACCC